AATGTGTCAATTCTTGTCTTTCTTTTTCATTGTCCAGCTTTCGTGTGCATACGAAGCAATTGAAAATATGGCTTGGTCAGGCACACCTTAGTCATCAAAGTGACATCTTTGCTTTTTAAGATTTTAAAGAGGCCTTTTGCAACAGACTTGTTCAATGCACTACATCATTTGACTTCTTGACTGCTGCTACCACAGGCATTGATTATTGATGCAAGTAGAATAAAACCCTTGACCACTTCAATTTCTTCACCATTGATCATACTGTCATTTATTACCCAATTGTGGATATATACATTTTCTTCATGTTCAGGTGTAATCCATACTGAAGGCTGTAGTCCTTTAACTTCATCAGCAAGTGCTTCTTCATTTTTGGCAAACAGGGCTGTGTCATGTGCATATCCACTCGTCTGTCAGTCTGTTGTAGTGTGGTGACTTATATCTTGCTATGATGTTGGAAGCTATGCCACTGTATTTCAAATACCAGTAGGGTCACCCATGGCAGACAGGTTTCAGTGGAGCTTCTAGACCAAGACAGACTATGAAGAAAGGCCCGGCAAACTACTTCTGAAAATTCACCAGTGAAAACTTTATGGATAACAACAGAACATTGGAGGACTTAACACTAATATCAAGACAATGTAATTTTGGCCTAACAATAGACAAATAGATTGACAAAATGGAATAAAGTATACAGAAATAACCAAAAAAAAAAAACAAAAAAACCCAAGTCTGTTGCTGTCGAGTTGATTCCAACTCATAGCAACCCTAGAGGACAGAGTAGAACTGCCCCATACAGTTGCCAACGAGTACCTGGTGGATTTGAACTGCCAACCTTTTGGTTAGCAGCTGAACTCTTAACCACTATGTCACCAAGACCCATACATATGTGGTGAAGTGATTTTATTACAAAACTGGATAATTCAGTAGAAAACTCTGTCTTTTCAACAAATAATGTTAAACAATAGGATATGCATATGCAAAAACTAAGGAATCTGGATCTATGCTTCACACTATGCACAAAAAACTACCTCAAAGTGGATCACAGATCTAAATATAAATCTAAAACTATAAAATTTCTCAAAGAAAGCATGGGTGAAATTATTTTGACCTTGTTGTTGTTGTTGTTAGGTGCCGTCTAGTAAGTTCTGATTCATAGTGATCCTATATACAACAGAAAGAAACACTGCCCAGTCCTGCACCATCCTCACAATAGTTGTTATGCTTGAGCCCACTGTTGCAGCCACTGTCTCAATCCATCTCGTTGAGGGTCTCCCTCTTTTTCACTGACCTTC